TGTCCAATCAAAAGACAGGATTTGTACTACCCGACGTTGTGATTTTCCCTTTTTCCAATTTTTATAATGTATGGAAAGTGAATTATCATAGTATGTAAATCCAATTTTGATATAATCGCTATTTCCATACTATGGATACAGTATGAAAAGAATATGGATATACTATGGATTTAGTGATACAACTGCAAATTCCATAATATGGACGAATTAAAAAAATACTTAAGAAAATCAAAATAATACAAAATAATGAATCTCCGAACAATTTCATTTCCTAATATCGACGTTTCGGCTGCAATGTTCAATTTTTCTGATGATGACTAAACAGTAGGCGAAATGTCGATATTGGAAATGTAATTGTTCCGAGTTTCGATTATATCGTGTCTTACTAAAGTAGTTAATGGTAAAATTACCTTAAATTCAGGCTTTATCTTTTCATGCGCAGGAGAAACGTGATTACAACCACCTATCCATACTATGTCCGTGAGTTAACCTCAGCCAGAACAAGCAGTACCAGACAGACGTGCAGGAAGACATGCGCTAGTCGTTTTATTTGGTGTTTGGACCGCAAATGGGTTTGTCGGTATGTCAAAACTAAATAAACCTAACTGACATTGAAATTAACAAGTGGAAGAATTGATAAAAATCTCTTTGTGCGGTGAACAATCTTGTCATTGTTATTGTTCGATTGTTACTGTTCGATTGTTGTTTCTCGATTGTTGCTGTTCGATTTTTGTTGTTGTTGTTGTTTCTGGTTGTTGTTGTCGTTGTTGTCGTTGTCGTTGTTGTTGTTATGGTGGTGGTGGTCGTAGTTGTTGTATTCTTGACGTTGTTCGTTCGATTGTTTTTATTGTCGTCGTCGTTGTTGTTGTTCGATTCTGTCGTTGCTGTTGGTAGCCTGTTGTAAATATTAGGGAGTATCAAATAAGTAAACAAGAAAATAAAAAATTAAATAATTCTCACTCTAAGTTTAATTTAAACAAAACATTTTTAGAATCACTAATGCAACTATGGAAATAACATACTAAAATTGCTATCATCTCACGTTCTATTTGTGTATCCTTTCAAAGGCATATCACTAACTACCGCTGGAAATCTGTATGGAAGTCAGTTAGAAAAACAAGAGAAACACGTCGTTGCAAAACAGGATGGTTACAGGACGGAAGCGAGTGCACCACACGTAAGATTTACCAACCTTTCAGAAATGTTGTTCCTATTTCTTGGAAAAATCGTTCAAAAATTGTAGACAAATCACAAAACGATTGGAAATTTGTCTGCCTGAGCGAAGTATGAGGTAAAATATTTCCGACTAAGTGCGGTACTCTTACATTAAAAAGAACTGAACATGCATGCAGAAATCCCTCGCCTTGCGGGTAAAACCACTATATTTTCTGAACATGAAGTATTTGAAGTAGTTGTCATGGTAACACAATAATTTTATTAAGAATATTTTTAAAATTGAATATCTCCCTAAAAATATGACTTTTAATTACAAAATTGTCAATTTCCCGAAAATATATATGTTAGATATGCTATTATACGTATTATCATATTTATTTTGAAATCATGCGCGATTCGAGCAATTTGGTTGGCTAAAAGTAGTGCGATTAAAGCCCAAATCGAACTATTTAGAGCTGTAATCGCACTATTTTGAGCTTTTCTCGCATCAGCATGAGTTGTAATCGCATCATATATTTAAACCAATCGTATTGAAGTGGTGACCTTAGGTAGTCAATCAAAGGAAAGTGCAGAATTCACTTAGCCAGTCAATTTTAAGAAAACTGTGATCAGGCAAATTGAGCAAAAATGCCAAAATAAGCAAATCAGAGTATTGCCATCTTGGCTAATTTTTTGGAAAAAAACCCAAAATAAAGTATAGCTTAAACTGTTAAACAATTCTTAGACTATTAGTCTAGGACCTGTATATGAGTTTGTATGCGATTCATTTAGGACAGGTAATCTCAACTGTTTTAGGGTAAAATGACTATGGCGGTCAACATGGCATATGTGCGAAAACCTGAATCCGGGACGAAAGTCCTGAAAATGACCCCGCCCTGAAACGGCAGTGTCGACATAGCTCTAACTTCCAAAAAGGAAAAGCGATAGCCTTTCTGAAGTGCTTATAGTGTTTAAATGGGTTGCTTTTAGGGGTGGTCATTGGAAGGAAAAATTTGTCTAAGTGTAATATTTTACCAGAAAATGACTATGCACCACCACAGGTAAATTGCTGATTATGCACAAAATAACTAATATGCCTGGCAGACATTAAATATTCTTATTTCCTAAAAAAAATTATTATGGGGTGAAAAACTATGCTTAATTTAATATAAATATTGTTGATTTCATAAGGATTGTCATTGTTTTCTTTAAATATAATACATTATATTTCACTTACCCCCCAGGAAAACACGATTTCAGCCATATTTTGCCGTCTTGTTTGCTTTTTATCGCCGAATCTCGCAAATATCATCCAGTTATTGTACTTTTACATAATTATAAATGGCTGAAGAAGATTTCAAAGAAGGTTTCATCCACTTTTGTAACAGTGCAGTGTATTTTATCTTCGATGTTGTGTCCTTCGCTATTTCGTCAAATTGCCTCCATTTTAATGGCTCGCCGCTTCTCTGCCCGATAAATGCCACTTCTTCGTTTTCATATGTATTTAAATTACATTATCCAAGAGTACTTCCTTGTAGAACAGTACCAATCCAAAAATTGAAAATATTATTGGTACTTGGAAGGAAAAAAGCTCCCATAATAGTTGTCCTGTTTGAATTCAAAAAAAATAATTTAAAAGTCACGCGCAAGTTCGCGAAAACACCTCGTGGGTTACATAACAGTGGGGAGTGAATATTTTCACGAAACGTTTGTTCGCCACCACAGGCCACAGCGACCTAACTAAATACATTATATTTATTGTATATTTGTGATTTATGATAAAAGCAATAAATATTTGCGTATCAATTATAAAAATACAACAAATATAATACATTTAGTTAGGTTGCTGT